TTTCAATACTTGCAGAAATCCTAGTGATGTTAATCAACAGTGGGGATTTAGTCCAACCGGCCAGATCTATTCTCTTTCAAAACCCAACCTTGTGTTGACTTACATCGAAAATCGGCTGATTGAGGACACGATGTCTGCAGAAAAGTCTTCGGAAAGGCCAAGGGAAGCAACCAGTGGATTGCAAAATTTACATTCCATGAATGATTCCCAATTGGAACCCAGTCCAGCTCTCTCAAACAAGGCCGAGGAGAACCCTGAGACTGGTCTTGCCAACTTAAAGGATGAGTACAATGGTTGTAGGTACTCAGTTGCTCTTCTGCCAAAGCGACATGCAGATGGAACTCAAAGGTAAGTTGTTAATTGCGGGCGACCAGTTGAACCTGTAATCCTAATCTCGAGGTTGCTATTACGCATGAGCGGCCCGATAACTCGAACCGTCGATTTCCCGTGGATTTCCTTCATACGTTTACTGCAATTTTACCCTCGGTAACTCGAGCCTCCCTCTAACTCGAAGTAATTTTTGTTTCCCTTCAGATCATTTCTATATATAATTTTACCCTCGGTAACTCGAATCATGTTTTTATGACGTGACAACGGTGTACTGAAGTCCGAAACACTGAATTTAGTTCAAAACAACCGTGTCAATTCTTTGGCTTTACTTTTTGTCACTCCAGTTCAAATCAGTGTCCATCCCTACATATTAATCAAGCTTTGTCGCTTAATTGCTTTTTTTCAAAATATCAGTCTTTATTTCTTGCTGCCCTTGAAGTGAAGTGTGCATGATACTTGCATTTCCTCCCCATCCATTTGCTTATTTCCCTATTTCCGGTTATTTGCTTCGAACTCCCGATGACTCGAACTGTTTTCGATTTCCCCAGAGGGTTCGAGTTATCAGAAGTCAACTGTATGTAGCTAGCATTCGCGTGGGCTTCCACTTAGAGTGAATAGAATGCGTAGAGCGCCATCTGATCACGCGCGTTTGGACCTTCTGTCACTCGTAATCTGACCTTTTATCATGTGAATCTTACTTAAAACACCAGCTTTGGAGCAAGGGCTTGGACCTTCGATCAGAAGCCTGAAACTCGCCCGCATTCTCTAACCTTTGGTTATTACTAGTTTAGTCACAATTTCTGCCTGCTAAACGCAATCACTTAAGGCGGCATCGTACTCATAGCAGACATAAAAGTTAACAAAAATGACGCTTGGAAGGCCAATAAAAAACGTTCGCTGGCGAAAAAGTTGTAAAAAACATAAGCTTTTGGCTACCAGACCGCAGCCTTCAATAAATGAGTAAATCGCGCTCATTGAAGCTGTTTATATAAGTTGTGGATTACGTCCAATGACGGTAGTTAAGTATTCACATCTCCTAAGTTAAAATATCTGCTCTATGCAGAAGAGTTTGCGGAAGACAATTTCACCATGAGTGAGCAGCTGTGTTTTGGCATACTAGTTTCCTTATTAGGAACCAGTGCTGTTTTCATGATTTGATTAAAGAAGTCTTTTGCCAGCACTCTGCCGATAGCATGCAGCTTGCCAATGGCCACCTACACTTGAACTCGCCTACACTTGCACTGGGGTACTTCTTTTTCTGGCTGATGTTTAGATGTTATGAAAACTGTCAAACTATGATTTATTATTTGTAGATGGGCTGTTAAACAGGAAGACTTCCTAAATATGGGTCAGTGGAAAAATTCAACCATTTCTAACCCGGAATGGAACAAAAGGGCTTTGTCCTGGCCTGTTTATGAAGATGGCACTTGGAACTCGGTACGTCTGCAATTTTATAGTCATCAGCTCTTACAAAAAAAGTTTAAAAACCATCGAACTTGATTACTTCTTTACATTCTTATCTCATAGAAGTTATATGAAGTTTAGCTCAATCCTATTCGGCTATTTCAGTAAACTTTAGTCCGAAAAATACTACTCAATCACTCAAGTCTGCGCAACAACATCAAAAGGTGATATAGGTCTTGTTGAATATCGATAAACCTTTCCACGGTTCTTTTTTTTCTTCTTTTGACATGGACAAGTTGGGAAAAATCTGTCTACTCTGCTGGGAAGAGCGCCTTTAAATTAGCAAGCTTGCCAGGCTTGAAAATGATTTGTTGAAAACTAACGAAGATATAGCTCCTCAAAGTCGCGAAATTGTACAGACGTTTATATGGTGGGGGCACAAACTGCCCCCACCCCCACCCCACCTTCCGCCCTAACAACCATACAAACGTGTAAATTTTCGCAAATTTGAGGGGGGCTATAACCTTCGCTGGCTTAAGATGATTCGCTTTCACACTTGGCGAGTTTATTAATTTTCCCATGGTGTCGTGAAACCATGTGGACGGGTCGATTCCTCAGTTCATCGCCTCTTCCATACGGTGTTATGTATACCTTTTACTACTGATAAAGGCCAAAGAGAAAGTTCATTAAAAAACTTTCTTTTTTTCAAAGTCCCTCAAACTAAATAGTACTATGCAAAACTTCTGCCAATTCGACAGCGCGGGAGCAACCCCCAACCCCTTACGCTAACAGTCAATAAATCCCCCGTAGTTTGTATTTCCATAAGCACGCTTGACGATCGCTAAAGAGAAAATAGAGGGTCTTTGAACAGGCTATCCAATTTGTTTATAGTAAATTGTGATGGTGCTGTACATTCATTGCGACGGTATGTTTGTCTTTGTCTCTCGAAGGACTTCACTTGGCCCATGGAGGGATTTTTGTTGCCTTATGCTCCACCAGTCAAGAAGCCCTCACACAAGAAAGCAGTCACTACAGGTAATATTAATTTACTGAAGGCATGCAGGGGATTATTCATCCTCGGAGACCCAGGGGCGGTCAGTCGGATCGAGGAAAAATGGTGGCAGTCTGTTCTTGAAGACTTTGGTCGCCGTTTTTCCGACGCAACTGACCGCCCTTGTGTCTCCAAGGGAGGGGCTTATTCACTGGGCACTTGGCAGTGCAGAACTTGCTCAAACGCATTAGATAATTTCAACCATTTGTTCAGTCATTTACAGGGCGTTGAATCAAGAGTTTTCCAGTTTGCCGTGTGTTAAAACCTAAGGGTGCGTTTCGATTGAGAAATCTGGAATTTTACTTGGAAATCCAGCGGATTTAGAATTTTACAATCAAAAGCAAAATCCGGAAACGGATTTCAGCTTCGAGAAGTCCGCCCTCGAGATGGATTTCAAAAAAGAAATCCAAATACCGTTATGCTTACGCGTGCGAGACCGCTGTTCTTGAGAAGAGTTGAGTTTTTCAAATCTCTTTGCGGATTTCCCCCACCCACCCCCCCCCCCCAAACAAAGTGATCAATTTAGGTTTGGGGGAAACTGCTCACCTACCCTTCCCCTAAGCTAACATTAACACTTACTTCTCTCTTTGGGCAAAATGACGGCTTAGGGGAGGGGTAGGTGGGCAGTTTCCCAGAAACCTTTTTAATTGATCCAAAAAAACAAACAAACAAAAAGAAAGAAAACCCAAAGACACATTTCTCAGGGTTGAAATCCGTTCTCCTTTTTCGCGTTTCATTGCAAATCTGAATATCTAAATTTCGGATGTTGAAAAACTTATCCAGATTTCCCAATCGAAAGGACCCCAAATTACCGTCATCGTCTTATTGTTTACAAAATGTCTTGCAGAATATAATTTTGTCTCGTGTACAAAAAGCTACACTTATTGTTTTGTATCATAATTTTTGGGTGTTAATTTTACTTTGGTCTTAAGTGCCATTAATTTATTCAGGCCAAATAGACTTAACAGTTAATTTGCAACTGCAGGTGAAATGATTAACAGTGACACTTATAAGACTTTATACTGTAAATTATTTATCAGCTCAAACATTTTGCATATTATCAATTAGTTTTAGAAGCAATATGTATTCCGAAATAGCACCATCATGTTTTTTTCTCCTTGGAAAATAGAAATTTGCCTTGGTTTTTGTTCCTGTTGACATTAATTGTCATTCATTCCAATGTGTTTTGCTGGTAGTTTCAAAATTTATGAATTTCTTGAAAGCTTTTAACTTTCTGAACTCACAGTTACAAACAAGGGACTACTTCTTTCAACCATCAAATGCGGCGTAAGTACGAAGTCCAAACTTGAAAGATTTCATGATCTTTTTCCATCGAATGTATTCAATATCAGGTTTATAATTTGCTTATCCTTTGTAAAATGTCTTCAAACTGGCCACGCTTCTAACCTACCAAATTTGAGTTATGATGTTGTGTCTTTTCCACTTGACAACTGGCATTTACATATACAAGGCCCATTGTGTGTAGTAAAGTTTACGTTTAGAGCTTGTAAACAAGTAGGTAAATTGCTGCATTGGCGAACGAAACATGAGTATAGTTTTTGAGTTCCTTATTAGTTCTAGAATTTCTCCGCTGTATAAATACTTCAATGGTGTTGGAACACTCCAAACGTCTATAAAATAATTTTTATAATACTTTGAAAAGTTTTGACAGTCTAAGATACGAAATAACTAATCACTACTTTTTCATTGTCGGATTTTCTCAAGTGAAATATCCATAATTACTGTCTAATATAAAAGTTTATAAAGTTGAATCTCTCTATAGACGGTCTATTCAGTGCCTAAAATTTAAGCTCTAGAATTAAATTCTAGCTTTTTGTGGAATAAGAAGTACGCTATTATGCTGAGAAATATATAAATATTACTTCTGATGGATGACAAACTATAATAATTGGGAAACGCATGAACCACATTCATGTGACCTCTTATCTTATGTGACCCACGGCCAATTTCACTGTTTTATTCTTCGGAATTGATAAATGTGCATGGTAATTTTCAAGTGCAGTCTATGGGTCGTCGTACTAACTGTATAGGGTGCTTGTGCAACCATGACCAATGAATTTGCCAATACTTCTCACAGGCGTCGAAGAAAGACGTCTCAACTATCTTTAGTTAACACTGAGCTGCTTTGTAAAAAGGCTATGCTTTAATATTTATTATAACTTAGCAATATGACTCTACTTTAATTGTAGCTTTTAATTTCCTTTTTTTTCGTTCTTAGTTGCGTATCATTCAACTGTTTTTAATCCGATAATTTATGATTGTAACTTTTTATATGTATTTTTATCATATGAATGAACATTATTATTATTAATTATTGTTAATTATTATTATAATTATTGTAAGTTCAATCAAACTGTCATAAGTGGGTGAGTCTTGCTGGAGCCAGATTTGTGGGAACCCTATTCAAGCTCAAAAATAGGAGGGAAAATTCCTCATTATTTGTGTATGCCCTTCAAAGGAGAATTGTGTCGGATGAGATGTTGTTTTGTACATGGAAGCTGTTTGACATTGTCTTTGTTTCATTTCAGCCGCCCCTGCAAGGCTACGGGTGCTTAAAAATGGTGAATCGGACGAGAGCAGAGCGGTTACCGTTGTGGGACCTGACTTGACTAATGTGAGTAGCAATTGCCTGTTGGTTATGTTGAAATTGCGCGTGAGACTTGTTCGGTGTTGTGTTGAATTGAACTATAGGACTGTTTTGAGGACTCCACCGCTTCTTTTATTGGCTATTATAGTCAAGCCAGGTCAAGCGTACCCCCCAAGATTCCGCATTAATGAATCTGTTATGCGAAAAATGAATCCCTTAGTCGTTGCGGCAACCAGTATTAAATTCAAATTTACATTCCTGCATGCGTAATTAGCAGTGAATTTTTACGATAACTTCTTTGTATTCGGTAAGATTGAGAATTCTTTGAATGGATAGACATGTTTGAAGACATTGACATCAAATTCAAGAAAATTAACGTGGTAGAAATTTCATGACTACCTTGCGTGCGAATTCACTGCTTATTACGCGTACAGCAATGCAGTGATGAATCTAAAATCTACAACTACCAAAAAATGGTTTTCGCGTCTGATCTGCATTGACACCGACTTTTTCGCCTCTTTAAACGGCTATACAGACCTCCCACTCATATTTTATCTATTAGTTGATTGTGTATCTGTAGCCTGAGAAAACAGCCGAGATTCGGCGACGCTACCATTGGTTTCCCCATCAAATGACGTCTGAGAAACGAGCGCAGAAATTCCATACTGATGACGCGTTACTACCCAGATCTGGGTAGTGCTTCTGATTGGTTGAAATAAATTTCCCACGCGGCACGACCAATCAGAAGCTCTACTCAGATCTGGGTAGTGACGCGTCATCAGTATGGAGTTTCTGCGCTCGCTTCTCAGACGTCATTTGGCGGGGAAACCAGTGGTAGTCTCAGGTTAGTATCTGTGTGGAAGGCTCCTTTTGCTAAATTGCTTATCTGTTTTCTTTTTTTTTTCTTTTGTAAGATGCTTCATGATGTCAGTGGATCTAAACGTCCTTCTACAAAACACAAAAGGTAACTACAGTCAACTCTGTCGTAAGTGACCACCCTTGGTGCATGACAAAGGGGTCGCTTACGGGAGGTGGTCGCTTAAAAGCAGTGGTGGCTATGAGGCAGTTGACTGTATCCCCTTTTCTCTGCCGTTGACTATGATGGAAGCTGGAGTTGGAATCTGATTTGGCAGAGTTGGATGGATCTATGTGATATATATCTAGCCAATTTTTTGAAAAGTAACCTGACGAAATTTTTCAGTCATTTGAGTGAAAAGGGGTCAAACGGCAGAGTTTTTTTCGTGCCCGAGAAGCTCGAAAATCACACCAACGAAGGAAAAGGAAAGGAGAAAACGAAAAATCGAGGAGGAAGAAAGGAGGAGAGGCGAAAAAAGCAATGGTTGCACTCTTACTTTTTACAATGGCTACTTTGGAGATTTTTGACCGAAAAAAACTGTTTGTTTACTTTTCCCAGCATAATACTTGTTTTTTTTTTAACAATTTTTTTTTGTCAGGAGATCTACTGTTGAGAAACATGTTGAACAGGCCGGCGAGGATGAAGCTGGCTCCTGCCATCCCCTTGACCTTAAAAAACTCGAGCTTGACCTGGTAAGACTGCAGGAAATAGCAAAATAACTATGTACACCTCTTATCGCAAACAGTCAGTTGTTCTTGCAAAAAAAAGTCGCGGAAAGGTCAGTGTAACCATTTCTCTCTCAGGCCTAGGTCTGACGTCGAACTTTTCATGAGACGAACCAAACTCTAATTTGGATCGACCTAAAGTAACTTAATTGTCTGTTGGGTCCGACGAACCAAATCAAATCAGTAATAACTTTTCTCCCCAAAGAGGCTAAAGATACATTATCATACAAATTTTTAATTTATTGGTTTCGTAGTCTGCTATGTAGCAGACTAACTTATCCGTTGATAAAACACATGTGGAAAAAACCGTGATTTTAAATATTCTTTACTTGTCATGGCCAAGAATCCAGAGGCAGTTTTTTTCTGTGGGAGTCCGCTACCTTTTTTCGTTATGTGCAAATGTGATTGTATCGCATCGTATCCCGTGTTTTCTAATTACGCGCATTTCCTCAAATAAGCGCCCATGCCCTGGGCCACAACATCAAATAAGTGCCTCCCCCCTTTCCCTTACTTTCCAAAACAGTAAGGCTGCAAGGAAAACCATTTTCTATTGCCACTGTATATGACGATATTTGATGAGATAAGCTATATTTTATGACCTTGCATATCGATACATCTTTATTCAAAGTGTAAATTGGGACTACGGTATGCTTCATTACAACAGCTGCTCTAACAAAAGAAAAATGTTAATATTGACGTTACCTTTGTGTAGATTTTTTTTCATAGCGATTTAGCCAAAATAAAGTTACAGTTCGTTGAAATGAATAATTAATAAGCTCCCCTTTGATTAAGCGCCTATCCTTTTAGCCGAAATTTTGAATACGCGCCCGTTTCGGAGGAAATCCCGTACAGTCGAGGCTCTCCTGGCGACCACTCTCGTAAGCGATCAGCTGACGTGAAGACCACTTTTTCGAATTTCCGAGGAGGTCAGGTCGCTAACGAGAACTTCGACTGTATTTGGTTTTCAATCTGTTTTTCCGTCGTCAATTCATATTCCAACTGGCACAATTTCCATCAGTTTTTGGACAGATGTACCGACGCTGTAGGCTTGCCATTCGCTGCAAGACGACTGTACACCAAGGATGGAAAAGAAGTGCGTAGACTTTCTGATCTTCAAAGAGACGAGCTTGTGTATGTTACATGTGGTGAGCCCTGGAGTGATCCACAGCTGTCCTACTCTGAACAGCAGAGACGAACGGTGCTGGCAAACTTAGCATCTGATATCTGTCACATCAGACAATATTGTGCCTTGAGGGATCCAGCAGGTAGGGCCGCCTCTCCAGAACGGCCACTTTCTTTGCCCTGGCGGACAGTCCATACATTGACTGTTGTTTTAACCTCTTTACTATGTCCAGTTAGGTTTGAATCAGCAGCATTTTTACCCTTTCAGCCACAATATTAGAACACAAATTCTCCCAATGGATCTCCATACGTTTCCTTGCATAATTAGCTGGGAGAATTTGATAAAGGATCAAAGCATTTTCCCTGTGGTGATCATTTTATCAATTCTTATAACCTTTTCTCTTGATTGTGTATCGAAATTGTTAGGAGAAAATGGATGGGACTCATAGGGTTTATGCTATTCACTCTTCGCATTCTCTGTTTTTGCTAGACTTAGTTCTTCAAGTTGATGGAGCGGCTACCACTGGGTCACCGTTATCTGTTGCTAAATGTGCACTGAGTTCGGAGGAGCGAGAAAAGCTGGCAACTGGTCGTGGTGATGAGGAATCACCAGGCTTGAGACGTGAGGAGAGGTATTACCGTAAATCATCTATTAGGCCCCTCGGGGGGCTTACTTATTTCAGGCCCATTTCAGGGGGAGGCTTAATAGAGACGGGGGGCTTATTTGAGAGGGGGGACTTATTCATTTTATCCCTATTTACCCCCTTACCCCTTAGTCCATCGCGGTAAAATTAACAGTCGTGTTGTTAAATTAAGAAGGGCACTGTCAATTAATCAGTGATACTCTAAAGCTACTGAGCTACCGTAAATCCTCTATTAACCCCGGGGAGAGGGTTATATATTTCAAACACATTTGAAGCGGGGGGCTTATTTAATTTAGAAAAGACGATGGTATCAGTTCCCCATAAAGAGCTGGAAAACAAAGTGGAAAAGCACAAGTACAAGACGGTTGGAGGTCAAGCAGCCGAGGATCACAATCTAATCCGAACTTCCAGTTGGTAAATCAGTCCGCACGAAGTTTTACAGTCGTGATTGATAAATACAGTCTATCATATATTAGTAAAGACTGATCAGGGGGCGGGGGCTTAATAGAGAGGTGGGGGTATTAACTTTCTTCCCCTGAAAATATGGGGCTTAATATAGGATTTACGGTAACTAAATTTAGAGTCACGTTTACGCTTAACGGTTATGGTAATGTGGTGGATAAGAAGACAACAGTACGTGCCCTCTGCCTTACGTTATACATGAACAGTAAGGCACTGGCTGATGGTATTGGTCCATTAATGAGCTTTGTAATTAGCAATTATTGAATGAGGCTGAGTATCATTTGAAGAATATTTTATTAAGGAGATCATGAAGGGTACTATCCGCCGAAGCCGATCAGGCCGAGGCGAATAACACCCTCCCGGATCAGTAAACGTGATCAGATTGTAAACTTCATCATCATCTTCATCGTCATCATCGTCATTGCCATCGTCATCGTCATCGTCATCATCAATATCATCATCGTCACCATTATTATCATCATCATCATCATCATCATCATTATCATCAACATCATCATCATCATCATGACCGTCATCATCTCAAACACCATCGCTATCGTTATCATCGTCATTGTCATCATATGTTTACATTTTTCAAATTCGATAAATTCATAAGTGAATTTTTTTTATCTGTTCTTTTAGCCAAGAGGATATTTACAGTCATGCTCTAAGCGCTCACGAGCGTTCTCATATCCGTGCTGAGCAGCGTCTTAAGACGTTGCAGTGGCCTTGGGAGAATGAAAAGACACTCAAGGACGACCCGTCTGTGGATGACAAAGAAGACAATGATTTCCTTGATGAGGTGATGTTCTCTGATCGACAGCTGCAGCGGAAATTTAGGTACTGAATTTAATGTCTCTCAGTAGCATTAATTGACGGATCGTTCAGCAGCACTTCAGAATGTCATCCACAGCCACTAAAGTCAAAACCAGCCACAGCAAAATAGACAGTACCATAGTAAATGTACTACTCGGTGGCTTTCATTTGTATGTTCATACTTAAGGACTTTATCCAGATTCGCAAAAGTTAAAACAACCTTGTGCAGCTTAATAAACAGTACCACAGGAAAATACTGGTCAGCAGCTTTCATTTGACTGGTCACACATTAGGATTTTTAATTCACCCACAGAGTCAAAAATTAGAACCACCTTGCACAACTTAATAAACAGTACTACAGAAAAGTACTGCTCAGTAGCTTTCATTTGAATGGTTACACTTTAGGATTTCATCCACAGACTCAGAAGTAAGAACCACCTTGCATACGTTCATAAACAGTACCACAGGAGAGTACTGGTCAGTGGCTTTCACCTTGAATCGTCACACTTGAGGATTCCGTTCTCAGACTCAAAATTTAGAACCACCTTGTACAACATCGCAAACAGCTCTACCGGAAAGTACTGTTTAGTAGCTGTCATTTGCACTTGAATTCGGTTAAGAGACTCAAGACTTTGTTTGGCCCACCACCAGCTTAATATACAGCAGTACAACAGGAAAGTGCCATAATATTAAATAGGAAATAGAGCCTCATTTTAGATTACGTTCTAGCAAATATTGACAGAATTTAGACCGTTTTAGAGTCTTTACTGCAGCCGTGACTGTGATTATTTATTAAAAGCCCTTGTGTGCTTGCTCTTCTTATTAGACGGCAGGTTCTAAAAACTCAAGATGCAAAGCCGGCTGATCCCTGCCAGAGACAAAGATGGTCGTTGAATAATGATGGTTTTATCTGCCTTAAGGGAACACCGTTGGTATTAGGACTTACTGAATCCTCTAATGAGGTAAAGGACCTCGACATTTTCGGTTTCTTTATGTACAGACTAATCTAATCTACGCAGCCGTTTTGGTCTCGTCTGCGTGGGAGATTGTATACATACGCGCGGGTTGGCGGGCACTTCCTTATATTGCCTATACAAAGACTGTCGCTGGAGACAGTGTATGGTATTTTGGCCTCTCCTTCCTGAACAGGGAATATAAATGTTACGCTTCCAGTATACAGGTTCTTGATTTTTTTGTAATTGCATATTTGTCATCAAAATAGAATTTCTTTTGTTATTGTCCCATTTGACATGAAGGTACCGATAAAATGCCACGACATCGCTTCGTAGCACACATTGAATTATAATTATCCTTTCGTCTAAAGAACGACGACCTAATGTGGTAATGACATTGTACACTCTATTTCCCATAGATTCCGTTCGATACGTTTAGTTAGAATTATTCTTCATGCTTTCCCGATGCGCCTTGTGCGGTAAAATGACCTGTTGGCTGTTGTTTTTCAGGGAAAATCTGAAGTTATTCTTTGTAAGAAAAAGCTTGAGGATTTTACGCAGAGATGGGTTGTGGCGGAAGATGGGTGAGATTCACATTCAAGTATTTGTTTTCTTTCATATATTTATTGATATTATGCTCTAGACCTTTTGTGAGGAAGCAGTTTCCTTGTACCGCCTGTAACGTTATCTAAGTTGAGAGATGATTTAATTGGCCATATTGTTATGCCAGATTGTGTTGAATGGCACTATGGGACTGGTTTGAGACGTAGTTTGATCCAGTTCCTTGCGCAACCTCTACTTGGAATAGCCACTAAAATAAGGCCTAGCGTTCCTAAAGCAGTCCCATTGTGCCATTCGATACAGCACTGACCTGATCTAATGCGCAACCTCAAAATAGATAAACAAAAATATCAATAATTGATTGCAGAGAAACAGCACTTTTTGTGCAAATCTTCAAATTGCAACGCTAGTCGAGTTGGGCTAGGGTTAATGGTTAGAGTTTTCCATTAACATACTACAATTATTGGGATAGACAAATTAAAATTACTTTACATTGCATTGGCAAATCATGCACTTCGCAAAATGGCCAATTAAGTATATCTGACTTCTTTACCAACCATTCTCGGTTTTTCCGTGAACATTAGTGAGTTTACTCAACAGGACGGCAGAAAGAAGAGGACGGCAAAACGCTTGTGTGTGACAAAGGTCACAGGGCTACGGCGTCTTTTGTCGTGATCTTCACTAAACCTTAAAGTTTTCTGGTCTTCTACAGAAAGTCCTTTTTAAAGGAGGGTGAAGTTTGGCGGAAAGTTTTTTTCAAGTAAAATTATTGTCACGCTTGTCACACAAGGTTTGTCGTCTTCTTTGCCAAGACAAGACAAGAAATTTATCATGATAGTATTGCTTACAATTTCTTGGCACGCAGTTAGCAAAAACGCTAGTCGTAGCGTGCCAACAAATTAATTCTATTACAACCAGACATCACGTGATAATAAGTAAAAAGCAAAAAAAAAAGAAAAGAAAAGAAAGAATATTTGAAAAAAAAAATCCTTTTCTGTCACTTTGCTTTAAAGGTTTTAGGTAATAGAATTTAACAGAGGTTCAAACTAAACTAGAGCACAAAATAGCGCGACCTCGCTCAAAGGCCATGCGCTGACTGGCCACTCCCATCGTGACATGCCACTCCAGTCGTGTTGCGTAAGTTCACTGTTACTGAGGCATGGATGAAGTCCTGTGTCATATAAGTTACCGGCCTGCGGCGATGTAAACGGCATTACGTATAACAAAAGACCAAATATGATCGTGGCTTTAATCTTTTATCTTTAATCACAGTTCGTAACCATACATAACTGATACAAATGAACTAATACTTACATATATAATCGAACAAAAATACAAAAATGGTTAACAGGACGGTAGAAGGGGGAAACCAAATTCCCATGCTAAGACATACTCTCCAAAAAAGAAAAAAGGGAAAAAAATTAATTAATTAATATATAAACATATATATTAAAAGACTATAAATTAGACTATAAATTATAAACCTAGATGCCTAATAATAATGCATAAACTTATATTAAAGACACTATGCCTAGTATTTTAAGGTAAATTATGAACGAAGGTACTTAATCAGTGAAACTTTAAAAGACTGAAGGCTAGGAGATGACATTACTTCAGAAGGCAAGTAACTAACCGCCATGTTTTACGCTTTACTGCAGCTTTATATATCAGCGTTCCAATCAGCAGCTTGTTTTAACAGTTACCACCCCTCCCCTGGGGAGCGATCCGTTCAACCTTGACTACACCCCCGCACAAGGCTTTGAAGGCGCAGCCGTGATTGTAGCCCATCGCAAGAGTTGCGCAAATGGAAATGCAAATCAGTTGTGGCGGTTTGATCCTATCACTGGCTTTATTGAGGCCATAGCTGCAGACACAACGAACAAAGGTATACTGTGTACTCTCCTTTCCATCTTATTCCTTGTAGACACCTCATTATCACGGGTACCTTTCTCATACCGACTGTCGGGACGCATAGCAGTTAACTCCCTAACATGTCTGACAGTTTTTCAATGGGGGAGGGGAAGGGAGAAATCAGGCGCGGGGCGCCTGGGAGAAAGGGAAGAGGGAACTCCTTCTTCCTCGCGTTTGCCACGCAAGTGATTAGATCCCCAGGGAAACTCACAGAGGATTGACCGGGAAAAAATTCTTGCAGTTACAGAATCTTGCTATTTCGGACAGGAGTTGTATCGTGTAAATAAAACCTACAACTGACATTCCGATTATCGTCTGTTTGGTTTACATTGTGCGATTTTGTCTTAAAATTATCGAAGGCTCGTCGTATTCTTCAAAGTTGTACCGTGTAAATCGGTTTTTATAATAAAGATTCAATTACTTACCAATCGAACTTGTTGTAGATGTAATTATAATATTTGTTAACCCCTAATGGAAATATTTTTAAGGAAATTATTTTCACACCCCGCTATTATGGACCCTTGCAGTTTAGAACACGAACTTGCGGTCCTAAGGTTTTCCGCAATTACGGGGATCGAGTGTAATATAATTCAAGTTATCTGTCAATTGTTCTTTGTAAGTAACAGCTTCGGTTCCAGCTTAACCTGTCCTTAGTTGCATTGTTCGATGGATATTAATCGAGATAAAAGGAATTGTCGTCGTAGCACAAAGTAGAGGATAAGTTATGTCCATCCGCCATCATTGGCGTCCACGACGTCCAATGTAACCGCACCTGTTGTCGCCTTCCATCCATATAAGCTGCCTTAGTACTTATATTTTCTGTGTTATTGATAATTTCAGAAATCAGTGCTGCGAACAAAGCTAATGTGTGTACGTTTGCTGTTCTTGGACCTCAACAAGTTCCTCAACCAGTACGTAACTGCTAATAAATAGTTGCATGGACATTAGGGAGCTTATTATATGAACAAATCTACAAGTCATGGACAACTAAACATAATAGTCTAACTGACTATCTGACTTACTGATTTATTGCTATGGATTCATCGGCTTTTCCTGTTGCCCAGAAGTAAGGAAAGGCTGATTGTTGTCTTCGCTAGTGTAATTTGAAATTAACTGTCTTGTTTAGCTTGTCAAAATGACGTTTTTGTCATAACCACAGTGGGCGTAAAAGGACAAGCCGCTCATTTGCCGCCATTCTGCTCAGTCTTTTTTTGTATTAATGAGGCGCCCGAGTTATTCAAAAGCCGGATTCAGGATAGCGCTATCCATCGCCGGTTAAATCTCTGTCCAGTGGATAAGTATTAGGGGAACCGATTACACTATACACTGGTTAGAGATTTATTCAGTGGATAGTGTTACCCATCTTTTGAACATCTGGCCCCAGTTGTTCGAAAAGAGGATAACGCTTTCCAAAGTCGAGTTTGCAGGTAAGCTCCTTCGCATAAGAAGATCAAGAAAGCGGCGCGATAGATGCTGGCCACCGATTGGGCACAAGTACCGTGCGAGCAGAGGTTTCTCTTTTGCTTGGCTTTTACTCACGGGGCGTAAACAAACCAACTATGCGACACACACGCCACGCGAATAACTTCGTAAATGCTAAAAGCCATGCGAGAGAGAAACCTCTGCTCGCAGCGTAGGGCACAAAAAAATCACTGACAAGCATTCGAATGAGTCGTGGAACTGGTTTGTTAAGAGTAGCACCCCAGAGGCTCTCTCACCCGTTCTTGAAAACTTCCGGCACCGTTATTCCTGACCTAGCTGACCGCCCCTGGGTCTCCGAGGATGTGGTGGTCCAGTTCGGAGACCGAATATTTTCTCTTCCCTCATGTGCACCCGTTGTGAGTCGTCGCCACTATAAAGGCATTTTTAGACATTCCTTTCTGCCAATTATTGTTCAAAAAGTATAATTTTAGCGGGTAAAAGCGCTTATAACCCTCAAGTGATCAGCGGCAAATGAATGAACTTTAACTTCTTCTTTAGGGCTACGTATACATGGCGGGAACAACTAAGGAGACGTACCTTTGTGAAGCTTGTGGGAAATCGTCTAGAGGACGACACAAACTGCAGCGTCTCCATCAATACCATTCTGGCTTTGCTTGTGCACTAGGAACAGGTAACTACTTTACAGGTATAGCGGGTTACAGAGATCAGTTTAAAAATCACTGGTACTCAGATATCAAGATATCAAGTTAGTATTAATTGAGGGAATGTAGGAAAGCAAATCGGCATCACAATATGTTGTACCAAGATACACCCACTTCTCGAATATGCCTCCCCAGCTATAAATTAAGATCTCAACCAGGAGGGGTAGCAATACCAAAGTCAAGAACGCAAAGACATACTAACTTGTTTTTAACAAGAGCAGCAAGACTCCTCCTTTTATGATCCGTACTTGTCTTTTTTACTTACTTTTATTAGAAATCCACTTAATAGGATTTCAAAGTATATGTTTTTCCCCTTTAATTATGTAAATCCATTGTATATGTTATTTTAAAAGATGGATAAATAAAGCGTATTATTATTATTTTTATTTATTATTATTATTATTATTATTATTATTATTATTATTATTATATTAACTCAGTCGTTAGTTAAGAGCGATCAGCAGCAATTTTCGTTTCCCTTTGTAAAAGTGAATGCTTTACAAAAGAACACATTGTTGATGAGAATAAAGGACATGATCACACAAGATGAATCTAATTGATACTTCAACAAATTCTCCCCACTACTTCTATTGGAAACGAATGGACACAACAAATGAGAATTTGAGTTTTGATGTTAAAGTTTAAAAGGTTAAAAGCGAGTCTCTATCATCCTGTCCCAGTTGCTCAAAGGATGGATAACATTATCCAACTTTTGAGCAACTGGGACCTGGACAAAACCAATGACAGAATTAGAAAGAACGATTCTGCCTCTCATAACCGAATGGAGAAAGCTTCTCACGAGGGAAATGTCTTTTATCTTGAACAATATCAAATCATGGTTTATCAGTGGTCTTTGTTATTGAAAGATGTATTTCATCGACGACGGCAACCGCAGCGAAAACGTCAGTTTTAAAATGAATTCCCTTTTTTTAATCTTTGTCGCGCTTTTCCAATTTGCTGAAAATGGCCAAGTGTAGGCGAATTCCCAAGAGAGGAAAAAGAGATTCGTCGTCGCCTGTTTACGTCCTCCATAAAACTTGCAATTAGTATAGGCATTTTCACGTCGTGGTCGTGCAAGGACGGTAAAGAAATGTACAAAAATGCGTGATGCACGTTCAAAGTTGTTGTTTTGCGCCGTCGTCGTTGCTAAAGCTCGCTAATATAACAAGCATGAGATGTTGTGTTTCATCACCAAATGAAACACCGAGAAGAGAGTGGAAAATACGACGCGCAGCGGATTATTTGTGACGATTTTCGAGGCGTTTCATCTGGTGATGAAACACAGTGTCGAATGCCTGATATTACTTCTCAAACAAAATGATTTTAGCAGGAGAAATTAAGCATGAAAAAATGAGCAGTTTTTCATCTGATTTCCAAACACTCATAAACATTAATTTCCTTTGTATTTTCTTTATGAATTATTAATGAGTTTGAGAAGAGTACGTCAACAGCAATCAGCAGTAGTCCATCTCCCTTTAATAAAGCATCACAAAAAGTTTTGGTTTTGATCTGGATTTAACTGTTTTTCAGCTCAAGAACAAGGCCTTCGGCTCAGCAGTTCTTTCAAGTGCTTGAACAGCAAGGTATGTAAGAAGTTACTGTTCTTGTGACTGGTCTTTCGGGACACTCTTGTCAGGACGTTTCGCCAAGTTAACAGAAAACAAGAGAGCGAAGTTAATCAGTTTTCTGGCGGAATTACCCTATATATTGTTAGATTCCACTTCTCTCCCATCCTCTTCTGAATATGAAAAATTAAGCCCGCATCAAGCGTCGTGTTACTGTCGTGCATAACTTAATTCGTAAATAATTATTTAATTATATGGCCAAAAGAACGTTTTTTTCTTGCGGAACCAAAGCGAAAATCCAGAGCTGGCAAGATAGGGCCATTTTGCACGCCCGCTATGTTAGCCAATCACCCAATCAGAACACAGGATTCACTTCGTCTTACCCGCATGTAGACCTAGCCATTTATTAAGTGTTCTCTGCACCTCGGACTAACAAATCATAGCGTGTAAACCGGTCTTTATATTCGCCAACAGGTTGATTTGTCCACCTTAGAGGCTGAAGCCACACTGGACCTGTGGGAACACCAGCTGGAACGGCTGAGAAATGAAGGCAGTGTACGGACTATCACTCGTGAACTACATATGGCTCAGAGCGTACGTGCTGTCAGAATAAAGGCCTTCAAGAATGGAGAGGGAAGCAGGAGTGAGGGCGAAATACTCATTGGCTCTAGTATTCACTCGGTGTGTATGCATATGATGTGATAAATTAGGCTTTTTGTACCTTTGCCAAAAGCGCCTAAACCCTGAATTGGGGTGAATTGACAATGCCAAAATTGTACGCATAAACCAATTAGTCCGCTACTGGACTTACTTTTTAAGACCGAAGTGAAATCACTTTGTTTTTAACACGGACAAGCCTTTCTTAGCAGTGACTTCTTTTAAAAAAATGGGCAGCTCGAGTTTTTAATAAAGTTAAATTTATTTAACACAGATAACAAAGAGGAGCGAGGGCGTGGTCAGCGGTCAGTCGTTTAGCTCAAGCGCAGTCCACCTTGCTTGCATCACCTCCATGTGCTCAGTACAACGTTTTCCTGGTGGCCACTCTCTTCGTTTAGCCTTTGAATCATTCTTTTTCCCCCACCCCTCCCCCCTTTATTTTTCCACCGATAAATCAGTGTGACAGGTGCCTGGTTTGATTGGCGTGGGGGCTCATGGCTGGAGGGCGCTGGTTTGCTAGCCATGGGGGCGTAACTCTGTCTAGGGGCTGGCGGTGCCAAAAGTGGAAGCCCCCGGACATCCCGGGCACCCACCTCCACTAAGCGACGCAGTTGTTAAACTCTCTATATGGTAACCTGAGATCAGGCTCTATTTTCGTTTCGCTTTGAAAATTACATTCCGGCGCAGACAACCTCTGACTCTCTCAAACGGTCACCTAGAGTTGTTCCTTCAGTTGCCGTTCTTCAGTCAGTTCCTTTGACCCTCCATAAGGCGAACACCTCTTTCAAAAAGACACCTAAAGTTGATCCCTGCTGTTCTTCCGTCATTTTCTTTGACAATGTATAAGGCGAACACCCCTCTCAAACGGACACCTGGAGTTGTTCTTTGCCGTTCTTCAGTCATTTCCTTTCACTCTCAATAAGGCGGACATCTTCTAAAACGATCACCTACAGTTGATCCCTAATGTATTTGTAAGACATTTTTTTCGCTCTCTATAAGACAGACGCTTCCCTCAAGCCGTTACCCAGGCATTATACTACTCTAGCATTAAGTGTGAACACCCCTGTTAACTGTGCTTTCTTTTACTGGTTGTTTTAGCTTCTGGACCAGTGCACTGTAAAACTCGGATTACCATCGGCAGCTCGCCGTCTCTACACTTGTTGTGGAGAACTTATAACGGATATTCAACAACTTATCAGACCCTATACGTACAACACAGTACAATATATGGACAGCGGAGCACCACAAACAGACGCAGAGAGGAGTGGCAAGGTTTGATTTACTAATAAGTTTGTTTTCATACTTTGTTATCGTTTCCTGCTGATGACAATAATGTCACGCTAACATCCCCTTGCCACATACATTTTTTAAGGGGCTGGTAAGTGTTATTTTAGTCCATCCATTTTTTCCGTTTCTTTTGAGCTTTTGATTTCTTATCGGCAACGAGACACCGAAAGGCGTTCATTCGGCTGCCATAAGACCTTGACCAGACAGAAATACTATATTAAATGAAAACGAGAAGTTTACCAGAGCAGACAGCCAACAGCTCTGTTCAGGCCTGAGTTCTGTTATAAAAGAAAAACAACCCCACTAAATCCATCCCGATCCACGGGCTATAAATAGGTGATAATCCAATTTATGTTCGTCACGAAAACGCATTTTTCTACAATATAAAAATATTACGTTACAAGATGATTTTTTCCCTTTCGTTTCTTGTATATTTTTCTTGAACTTTGCATTTTAAAGACCATCCACTATGTATTTCATCGACACATGCTTCAAACAAGTAAAAAGATCAATAGATAGATAGCAGGTTTTTTTACCGTAAATAAATGTGAGTCGAGGATTTGCCCGAGTCTGCTATTTGTCTCACTAGTGACCAACGTATTTTCATGGAAGAAAATTTATCCTGTTCTTGATACCTTGACGTTTTATCGTTTTATCGCGAGTTGTGTAAAGGTTTGATTTATAATTCTCTCCAATCATTACTATGTCTTTTTCTTAGATCCCCGAAGAAAGAATCGCCCGCAAAGGCCATGCAGTAGATGTTGTTGAAGCTGAAAACAGGGCTTTTTACAAACCCAAGGAAGGGAAGCTAACGGCAGCTGAACAAAGAGAGAAAGAACTCTTAGAAACAGAGGCATTTGAAAACTTACACATCAATGATAATGAAGAGGAGGAGGAGGACGAGCGGTCATCCGGGAATTTAACTTATCGTGTGAGCGAGGGAAGGACTGGCACCGTGCCTGTTGTCAGCAGCAAAGAACAACAAGATCTCCCAAGATGGGACGCAAGGTGGCCTATTGACGTTTGGGTGTCCTGTGGTGAGCCGTTTGTGCCTTTGGAAGGTGTGTTTCAGGATTACCCCCAGCGTTTGTGCGAAGCTTATAAATGCTGCGTACTTGCCCTCAAGCATACAGACGTCTTTAAATTTTCGCAACTTTTGCGGAGCTGTAACTTCTCTTACTTAAGGTGTATCACTTTCAAACTTGGCAATTTCACTACCTTTTAGGCGCTCTTTTGAGTGGTGTCGACAGATTTTCCCTAACTGGTCCAAGTCAAAAGTTTACAACCCCTGGAAGGGCCTTTTGACTTTACGCCATGCACCGTAGATAAGGACGACCATCTATTAATGCCCCCATGGTATAATACATTGAAATTTTGAACCTCAAGGTTATTAAAGCCAAAATTCGTGTCTTCGCAATCAAACACTTTAATTTTACCCCCGAGTTTCGAACTTTTGGTTGTTCAAACAGCATTTGTTTTCCCAGGGGATTCAAAAAGGGAGGGAATGCTATGGCACAATGCCTAAATTTTCGTCACGCTTGTCTTGTTCTGTGGCAAGTTGCAGAAAACCCTAGGTCTGACGCAACTGCCAACCTTCGTCTGGACTGAACATCGCGTAAATCCTCTTTTATGAGTATTTTAAATTTATTACTTCTGTTCATCCCTATGCAACTCGCCAATCATGCTCTGGTAAACTTTATGTAGCCTCTGTCAATATCAGCCAAAATGGCTTGCGCTCCCTAAAATTTGCTGGTTTTCGCTTTTGGAATTCTCAGTCAACAAATATAAGTAACTTAAACTCTCTTAGAGTATTTTGTAAAGCCCTAAAAGAACTCTATGCTTTGTTGTTATATTAATTAATTAATTATCTACCGTAGCGTGAAGAAATACTTTTTATTAAATACTATATTCTATTATCCTGTGTGTAATTGTAATTTTGGGATCATTCACTAGATTAGCTTTTCCTTTTTGGATGATCCCAACTCGCTCCTTATCTAGAGACTACAATTTTTATTCTTTACTTTATATGTAAATGTATTTATTTGTCTCTCTCTTTTTTTCGATTTTTGTCAAATTAGCCTGCGAAACAGCCGTTTCTCCTTGCTCCTCGCCGCTAGGCTATGGACGTTTCTTCAAGAAACGAAACGTCCCCAGCGGCGAGGAGCAAGGAGAAACGGCTGTATTCGCAGGCTAGTGTCACATGTAAACAGAGCTGAGTGATGTAAATCTTCTTGTCTGGTTGTACCTTTGTTTTGATGTTTAGAAGCTGATAAACAATACCTGTTGTCTATGAAGCACAGAGAAGAAAGAACCTGGGTCCAGGCGTATCTAGACCAAGAGAAACATGTACTAAGGCACATGCAGGGTGAGTAAACAATAGGCCATTACCGAGCTGCTTCAAGCCTCGGTTTTAAAGCGAGGCCAGTGATTGATAACGATTTTTTATTCTCGTGCAAATGAAACTCATTTTCTCAAGAACAAGAAAGTTTCCCACTTAGCCTGGTTTTGAAAGTGAGGGCTTTTGGATCTCGGAAATGGTATTTTAAGTGGGAGTGGAATACAATGGTCTGCTACACAGCCGTTCTTTGTGACGTCATGCAACGCTCCTCCCCATAAACGTTAGTCTCCCTCGCAGCTGTTTTTTGGGGGAACGTTGTGTGACATCCAAAAAACGGCTGCTGAGAAACGAACCAATTTTGTGGGGGGAGCGTTGCATGGCAACATAAAGAACGGCTGTATAGTAGCCGCTATGGCACGGCAGCAGCGAACTGGCCACAGCCTATTGAATTTTTTTCTTTGTTTTATGAAAAATGAAAAGACCTGAAACACCAAATTAACAAATGTATGTACCAGTTTCGAATTATGAAAATTCATACCTCATTCAGACGTATAGCGTTACTTAGCGGCATTGAGATTCAGGGATGAATTATTTATTTCATTTTGTTCTATTTCCCTCAGCCTCGGAGTCAAGTGTGACTTTTTATAATTCAAAATTGGCTTATCCAGTGAATCGATTAAAATATGAATCAGGATGAGACATCTGAAGGTTTGGACTAATGAAAACGCCCGGGTGGAGTATTTTTTTGGGAGCAAGTGTTCACGTACGGTCGTCAAGATGTTTGAAAATAACAGTAGTATTTACAAGAAAGGAGTGCTTTCGACGGGGAAGGGGAATTTGGTAGTGATGTCAGGGCGTGTTCATTCACGTGACTGGCGTCGAAACAGAGAAAAGTTTGATGTGAGACGTAATGAAGACTGCACCCTTCCGACGCATTTAAAATTTATAATTCGTTTGCCAGGGCGTCGAATCAATGGCAGGAGTCCTCCATCCTCCCCCAGGGGGGTAGTGTTAACACCAGCATGGCACGAGCCCACCCGGGCTGAAGAAAAGAAGGAAGAAGCTATAAGCGAACTCAAGGTACAACTACCCCATTTGATCAAAATTTAATTTGCAAGCCTAGGAATCATTTTTCTTTTAAAAAGGACCCATGTGTGACGTATGCTGACGTCAAACGGGCAAATTTCACCACCAAGTCATGTTTAGAAATTTTAAATTTGCAGCCTGCGACCAAGCTCTTTAGGGATCTCTGGGGCGGAGAGCCCAGAAAGCTTGCTCGCCGGCAAGTAAATTTATGAAGTTTTGAATGAATTAATTTCCAAGACAGTATAGTTAAAAAGAATACGCATGCACAAAGAGTGCCAATACGGAGAATTTTGTTAGTAACCGACGAAGCTTCGTGATGAAATACATAAGGGCTTCTATCCTGAAAAACGCTGACCGGTAAATGACAGACGCACACTGGTGCAATTATAAAGTAACTGTTGTACTAAGTCCATCTTAAATCGTTTTGCATCAATTTCTAGAACCATCTTCAGGAAGTGAAGTCACGACAGAATCAGGGTGAAGCTTTCTTGAGTAAGGCAGCTAAAGAATCGACGCAACGGCTGTACTCCAAACCCAAAACGGTATGTTTTTGTTGTTGTTGTTGTTTTGTTTTTGGAAGACGATGATCTATTGAAAGAGAAGTGAAGCACCACCTTTACCACAAACGGCTGCTTCTGTTCCCTAAAACAACTGACGAAAAAATAATCAGTTTGAAAACCAATCTCTTCACGTTGAAAACGGCAAACGTAAAGTAAATCAGTGGCGGGAAATTAAGTTGATCACGTGTTATCCCGGTCGTTTGCCATTTTATGGTACTTAATAGATACATTTAGCATTGAGCTTTTCGCTTCAGTTACGGCTGACGTGAAACCACGGCTTGATGTCTCACGTTTGCCGTTTGAGGTTTGATCACAGGGTCCAGAGGAGTTTCGTGTGAGTAAATGAATTACTTATTTTGAGTCTCACCTTGAAAAATGTCTATACCTGTCGCTTAGCACGATAAATTAGCCCAATGGGATCTTTATGATCTACTGTGAACGATTTCTTCGCTTCTTATCTGACCCAGATCGACTTTTGAATATCAATAACCGCAAGCCATATCCTCGCTGGCGTACGGCCCGAAGGGTGACCGAAAGCCGTCGCCCGAAGGGCGACCAAGCATACTGTAAGCCGATCTTGCAAGCCCTTAGTCTCTTGGTTTGCGGTCTATAGAATGTGTAACGAAACTGTAACGCGATCAAAATAACCCATTTTTTCAGAGGTTTTCGACGGGTTTTGATGTTCTAACGACAAACAAATCTCCTCTGGACCCTGTGGTCTGATCCTGTCCCTACTTTAGCACAGCGTTGTTACGTTACATCATCGGGACTTCAGCCTTTATTTTAGAAAATCAACAGCAGAAAGATCTGTGTTCGCTCTTTTGCGTTAATTTACACTTAAACATCTACAAAAATGCCTTTTTTGCAATAAATTTTCAAATGAGAAAAAAGCAGCTCAAATCGCACAGGTAAATGACATGCTTGAAAACTCGCGTTGAAAACCGCAAATGAGACTACAGAGCCTCGGGTCAAGTGGTCCCCAGCCGTTCGCTTTAGAGGTTTCGGCCGGAAAGCTCGGTGCTTAGGTCTCTACTATCTCTCATATAAGGTATTTTTTACTCTGACTTTACCATAGGTGCGAGTTAATGCTGTTCCGAATGGCGAAAGTAAGCAGAGAGCTGTGGTTGTATTTGGGGCCAGCGTGGAAGAGGTTCGTGAATGGTGATTGTATTTTTTTCTGTCTGTTAAATCATACCTCCCCAATCATCTAGAGATAACAGTTTGAGAAATTCGCAGGAGCTTAATGTGCCTGAAAACATTATCTAAGAGTGGAGTTTCGGCATTTAAAAGCTGTTCTTTGCCCCTGCATCTCTACTTGTCGCTATTTATATTTCAAGTTCCGTACCAAAAAAAAAAGGAAAGGACCCTTCCAACCTTTTGATGTCCTTAAAATTAGTTATACTCGCAGAATCAATTATAAAGCATGCAGCAGGTTTACTTTTTGATTAGCGCACCAAATCCTATGGTGTGACCTCTTTTACGTGTTATATGGCCTGGTCGGAAGCATTTTTCTAGTCAAATCGGGTTTCTCGTCGGCGGTTGAGTGAAGAAATGCACGGATGTCACAAATTTTGGTCTGTTTGTTTGATGTTTGCACATAATGCTCATGTAGCAAAGCAGAGTCAGTTATATTTATGTGAAACCTCTTTTGCAGTGCTTTCAAATGGCACCATTTTTCCCCCAGTAATTCAGTTGAAGTTGATTAGTTTTCTTGGATCATGTTTAAGACTATTAAAAGAGAAATTTAGCTAAATGTGTTGTGGTATTGTGCAGTTGTTAGATGCTTGCACCACTCGCTTGGACCTGAGTAGCGCTGCAAGGAGACTGTTTAGCCTTGATGGAGATGAGGTGTGTTTCGTCTTAGTTTTCTGTCTTCTTTGGTAGCCTAATTGAGTAATACCCATTATTACTACACGCGGCCAAATGACAAACTGCCCTCTCTAAAACGCTCCTTTTCGCGGGCCAAACGGCAAAGTACGGGCTGTAAATGGAATTTGCAGCCCTGAACATGATTTCGTATTAAACAGTCTTTCCTTATGAAATAGATTTGAACGATTTGGCCTTGTGTATTGATAATAATGATAATCACGTGACTTTTGTCGGGCGTATAGGTTATTTGTGTCGCTCGTAACATCATTTGCACCCAATGCTCCACTCCGGCGCAAATGATGCTACTCGGGCCACAAATCAACTATGTGCCCTCCAAAAGTCATGTGATTGTCCTATTTACATCATGCATCAAAGTTACAGTTTCATTTCTTTCCAAGTAGTATCGCATTAAATTTTGTGATAGCCCTCTTAAGCTGGATTTGTTTCTTTTTCCTTTACAAGCAAAGTGATTTTACACTCGAGAAATGTCAAGACTTTTGGAAGCAGATTTCTTGAGAACACCACCACATGCAATGAGAAATAAACAAACGAAGCTTAACAGGGCTGTTGCGTACGTTCTTATTGCTTTGCTTAGTGATTGGTTAAAAAATTGTCGTGTCACTTTCTCAACCAATTAGGTTAGAAGTGAAATCAAAACAAACCATTCCTCAGTCACGTGCCTTTTCCTGCGCCTGGCCCCCGCTGTGATTGTATCTTTCGAGATCTGATTGTTCATTGGTTTATCTGCACCTGTGATTGGTCAAAGTAGATGACTTTGGGTTTTGGTTTACACTCGATAAAAATTGCCTTTAAGCCAAGCCAGGTCTAGCGTAGGTAGTTCGGAAATTTCTGCCAGAAGTCGTCATGACAGTTTTTTTATCCATGGTGGTTTTATTTTCAATGTGACCGAAGACTGAGTTGTAGTCAAAAATGCACTGCTTAAAGGAATGCAGATATGAATTTGATAGTAGTTGTGGCAATCACTAAGGGATTCATTTTTCAAATAGTGAATTCATTATGGAATCTTTGTAGATATGCCTGACTGAAGTGGCTGTAATATTATACATTTTCATGCTTTTACACCCTAATTTCATTGATTCGTAATCGCAAACTTGTGTGCACATGGAGACCTTTCGAATGTGTCACATGGCTGTTTCTTCGTCATTTAGATAACTGACGTCGATGATTTGGAAAGAGACCAGTATGTTTGTGTGAGTTGCGGAGAAGGGTTCCTTAGAGCGAGAGGTAATGCTTTGATGTGTTTGCTTTCTATGTGTCTTTGCCGCCCAAGGTCTTAAACCCTGACCCTATTTAAGGATGAAACAAACGAAAATTTAGGATCATCGTCCGTGTCTGGGAAACTGCTCACCTACCCCTCCCCTAAGCCAACATTGACACTTACTTAATTGTTATTGGTTGGCGTAGGGGAGGAGTAGGTGAGCGGTTTCCCAGAAACGTAATATGATCCACGATTTATTCCCTAGACTATTTAAGGCCCAAACCTGAAAAATGAACCATATTAAAGAGAAAACCAAAAACTAAATAATACACAAACCTTCATTAAATCGCTTTCCTAATACTTTAAGGAACAGTTCAGTTTTAACAGATTATTTGTTTTCCGCGTAGCTAGGCATTTATGCACTTAAATTTTAGCTGATACAATTACGGTATCCTATCCAAGGATCATACCGTGAACACAGCGCCAACAAAGGCAAAAATGATGCCCTATTTTAAGATCAGGATCAAGACCCCCAAATGTTATACCCTTTTGGGCAGCACATAGCAACATCTAGCCCAAATATGCGAGTACAACAGGGGCCTTTAAACCCTAAGAGTGATCAGCATCAAATTTCTCCTTCTAATATCAGTGCTTTGTAAAACAGAGTGGTCATGAGAATCACGGTCTTGATCACACAAGATGAATTTGCTTTATATTTTATCAACTTCTCTCCACTACTTCTGTAAGAAATAAATAGGGGCAACAAATGAGAATTCATATTTTGATCTTAGGGTTCAAAGGGTTAAACGAAGGTAATTGTACTCACAGCACTCTACTAGCTCAACACTGTTGAGAAGCAAAGATTTAGCAGTTGTGAGAGCATTCGCCCCCCATCATTGAAGTTATGCTGTGTTCAAGTCCCGGCATGTACGTGGGCCGGGTTTGCTTTGGTCTTCGCCCTTGCTCTGGGGTTTTTTTCCCGGGTATTTGGGTTTTCTGTCTCCTCAAAAACCAGCTTTTCTCAATTCCAAAACGATCAGGAACACACGAACACTTTTAAACGTTTTCTTCAGAGTTTCTTCGTGCTTCGTGGTTATTCAACTTACATTTCTATGAGCATTTCAAAAATTTGTATCCTGTTTTGTTCCACTGCAGATCGGCAGCATCGCCAAGAGCTGAAAGCCACCTGGTCTCGATTAAACAGACAATCTGGCGGAGCAATGATCCCTGGAGCTGGTCCGGTTACTAGGAACAGTGTAAGTATACGTACGTCGGTAGCGTGAAAGGGCTTGAAAGATGAAATAGACTGAAAGAGGTGTGGTGTTTTTGGATATTGTTCTCCGTATCAGTGGCTAATTATCGATCACGTTAACGTGATTACATTCAAAAGTATCCAGCATGTCAAAATTTGTTAATCAATTTCCTCCCTTCAGCACGCGGGGTATAAAACTGAATTGTAGTTTGTTTGTTACTCTCTTTCTTTCTGTGGCTTTACTGTGAAGCACTTTATTCCTAGTTCCTTTGGTACCAGGAAACTCCTTGGCTTTGGACCAAACATAGAGCGTATATAATTGACTGAGGCAACTCCAGTACCCTCTATTTCTCCGAAAATTTCATAATTGTTTAGGACTTCAATAGTAAGTTCCGCTATGAGCGAGAAATCACCGAAATGATAAACATTAGTCTGATCTGAAGTTGGTATTTGTAACGATCATCTTGGGCATTCTTGTTTAGATAACAATACATGACTCAAACATTTCAGGTACATTACATTTTTTCCTTCTCATTACTGAGTGTCCGTTAGATTCTTGACGGGGATAAACGAACCTTTTTAACAAAGTGTGTAGGTTTTTTTATGAACTTCAAACGGCTCATGCGTGTAACACATTTGAGCTAACTGAACTGGATACCCTGCGGTAGTTTATTAGGTTCATAAGTGACAATTTCCCTGAATATCGCAAGGACTAGAAAGGTGGTAAGCGAGTTGTAGCACGTTTTATAAGGTGATGGAAAATACAAACCCCGGTGAATACGCGAGAATATCTTTGCTTGTCTTTTGGTAGCCAACCCGTTGTTCAAGGCCCTGGGTGTTTGTCTCTTATCTTAGCAACCAAGACGCGTTTGCATGGCTGGGTTGGCGATCTCGTGTCCCAGGTATCCCTATCCTAATTAGCATTGAAAAATATCAGGGATTGTTTCATCCAAAACAAGGTTGAAGGTTCTCTTTCAGTAGGTGCGGTTAATCTTACCGTTTTAAAGGCGAAAGTCTTTTGAGATTACTTTTCTTCTCAATAGTGTTCTCGTTCCTGGCCTGGTATTACATTGCACCAGCTTCGTTGTGCCCTTTTTTGTCCAGTTGGAGCAGATATATTTCACGTTTGCTACGTTTGTCCTTATTAGGTAACTTATGACAAGACCATCCTGGCCTTACCTGCCCCGGTCTCTCCCCCGCCTCCAGCACATATTCCTCCCTCACCCACGAGGCAAATTTCTGTCCACCGATTGTCCAGTCGTCATTATTGATTCAGTGACATGTGTCAATTATGCTTCTTCACTGGGAATGTTTTTTCACCAATTGTCCAGTCGTCATTGATGATGCGGTGACATGTGTCAGCCATGTGTCTACATTGGGAGTGTCTGTTCACTGATTGTCCATTCGTCAATAATGATTCACTGACGTGTCAGTCATGTATCCACATTGGGAGTGTCTGTTCACTGATTGTCCAGTCGTCAATGATGATCCACTAACATGCGTCAGTCCTCTGTGTACATTGGGAATGGCAAGTTCACTATTGTCCAGTCATCATTAATGATTTAGTGACATGTGTCAGTCATGTGTCTACATTGGGAATGGCAAGTTCACCGACTGTCCAGTCGTCATTTATAACTCAGTGACACGTGTCAGTCTTGTGTCTACGTTGGGAATGTCTGTTCACCGATTGTCCAGTCGTCATTTATAACTCAGTGACATGTGTCAGTCTTGTGTCTCCACATTAGGAGACTGTTAACCGATTGTTCACCTTCTTTGATGGTTCACGGACATGTGTCAGCAGGACAGTGCCGGAATGATGAGCATAATAAATCAGTTACTAGACGAAGACATTAAAAAAATGCTCATTCATTATCAGACTTCAGTTAAAGACAACAACCCCACCAGTTTTGACTGACATGTATCAATCAACGATTGGAAAAGCAGTTATGATTAGTGTCAGGAGTGTCGTGTTATTACTTGGTTGACATTTTAGTCGGTAAATGATGGCCAGTTGTCCTCATGACTGAGAGATATATTTTGCCCTGAGTTCAAGGAGTGTGAACCGTTGTAAAACTTCAGTGCATATCAAGCCATTGTCAAAATCAACGATAGCAAAATTCATTGTTTTGCTTCATGAGAAATCACGGTTGTTTGGAATTTCCCACCCTTTATGGAGCGTTCCCATCCTCCTGGTGATTGACAGATGTCAATTCGCAGAGTGACAGATTGCCTGAGAAATGGCCAAAACTCAACTCGTTCCGATTTCCTAGGATAAATTGGTAAAGGGGACTGTGTGATTCTTTTACAGCAGTGTGGAGTGTGTGGTATCAAGCAAAGCTTTGTGTGAACGAAAGACAAAAGGAAACTTTTGACTCTCTTTTAACCAGAAAACTGAGTGTCCAGGAAATAACCTTGGCACGTCTCAAGATGTTAACGGTTGTAACAGTTTTTCAGAGTATTTTGTATTATTTATTACAAAAGCGAGCTATTTTTACAAACGCAAATTGATGGCGTGTTTTCCGGCTGTACCAGCCGTGAAGGCTTCCTAAACAGCTCTCTTGGTTTTGTAAATAAAAATCTTTTACAGGAAAACATGTTTTTTTTAAGTATCCTCTTTATTAAATTTTGTTAATAACCCTCCATAAAAGGATTCTGTTACACAAGACTTTAAGCTTCCAGAGTTAGCTTTTTTAAAGTACCCGCTTTTGACCATCGCTGTTTTGTTTGTAGTTAATATTCTGATCATATGTTCTGATCCGCCCCATGGCATTTCCCTATCTGTTGTTTTTAAAAGTGCCCCATGGATATATCCGTAGAGTTTGATCCCTGTTTGAAGAATTGATTCCTGCTCGGTGTTCAACAAATGTCCTCAATCATGTTGCGGAGGTCCTCAATCAAGTTGGGGTCGTCGATTGTGGGACGTTGAATGACACGTTCCGGTCTATTCATGGCGATCTTAGTTAACTCTTTCGTAGTGACTTTATTCCCCACACCAACAGCGATGATATTCACGCCACTATCCTGATAAATGTACACACGTTCAGGTTATTAAGTGACAGTAAACGTTGGTGTCTTGCAAAGACGGAGGCAGCGTGGCCGAGCGGTTAGAGCGCTGGGCTCGCTCCAGTCAACTCCCGTTATAGCGGACACTGGATGGACCTCGAGGTAGTGTCCTCATTAGCGAGAGTCCGTTATAGCTGGAGTTTATTTCAGTCAAACGTCTGTAATTTGTTTTCGCTGGGGAATTACTGCTGTCCGTTTTATCAAGGTGTCCGTTTTAGCGAGGTGTCCGCAAGGCAAGAGTTGACTGTACTCAGAGACCCCGGGTTCACGTCCATCCCTGACCGGTAGCTGGATTTGTTCTCGGTATTCCCGCGTTCAAATACTCGAGCTCGCTTGTAAACAGCCAACTGGTTTGCCTCCGGCCAGCTGGGATTCTTAACTCCTTAACAAATCGACCACAATTTCCCATGGTCTAGACTCTTATAGATCATGGAAATGGCATCATAAAATGTTCAAAACTCAGTTGGAACCACGAGCTGCAGGCGAGTGGTTTCACTGCAAAGTTTTGAACATTTTATGGCGTCATTTCTATGGTCTATAAGAGTGTAGACCATGGAAAATTGTGGTCGATTGGTTTTTTACAATAACATTTATTTTTAGTTTCCTGCGAAGTCGTCCTCCACGAACTGCGTGAAGCGACGTTTTTCTTATTGTTTTTTTTCGTATTTTTTGCTCAACCTTTGCAGCTTCAAGCACCATCTCACCGTCAGAAATTTAACATTTGGTTCTTCTTTGTCCATGTTGAGAAGTAAAATTATTTTTACGAAAAACCAAAAACAAAACAACCGGCACTGCGTGACATGGTACGTCATTATGGTCTATACTCTCATGGACCATAGGTTTCGACCAATCAGCGCGCGAGGATTCGCTCAGTTCTTGTAAAAATTATATTCCATTTAGATTATTTGTTTCAGGCATTTGCTCGGCCCCGCTAGCATTAGTGCTATAAATACTGCAGAGTGTAAATAACAGAAATTTTATTTTTTTTTATTTTTTATTTTTGCAAGCCGAAGGCGAGGGGTCTCCCCTCGGTGAGGGCGGTTACCTTTTTTGGGCGCTCAAGAAATTAGTCACTGTTTAGCCCTCTTACCTTGAAAACCTTATTCTTAGCTCTGGTGCTGTCATTAATAATTCTTTACCGCAAATATCGGTGAACAGCAGATACCGTTTTGAAAGAAAATAGGACGTATGAGCCCGCGATTTTCGTCCCCGTTACTTTGATGCGTAAAACTTATTGCTAATTCTAGCTGACTTTATGGATAGGTCGCGTCACTTCTGCAGGGATACATTTTTAATAGGGTCAGACGAATAAACATAGCTATATATCAAGTAACAAAGAACCTTTTTGGTATTTGAGCGACCTCTAAGTTAAACTGCGGTGTCAAACCATTAATTATCCTCAGAACCGTTCTTAAGAGCTTACGTAATTTTTTTTCTGCACTACTTACCTTTTTTTTTTGACAATTTCCACAGTAAACAATGTTCACTAGAGTTGGTCAAATTGAAAACAGCTTACAGCAAGGTCTTTGTCAAACACCAGGGGTAGGGTTTCAAAGTTGACAAAACGGCCGTGTACTTTTAATAGCGTTCATAACTAAATATATGTCGTTAAATGTTTGTTTTTATTTGCGCTTTTTGTTTAACCAGCGCTCAAATAAATATGATCGTACATGCTGTTTGTTAAAACCTCGGTACAATATATCAGGCAGAAAAAAAAATGGAATCGAGGTTGTAGCCTGCGTAGCAAGCGTCTCCTTGCGGTTTAGGAGCAAAGAACGAGGAACGAGAGTCAAAGCGGACTGCGCGAAAAATGGTGCAAGTAAAAGAGTTTTTGGCTCTCGTTTCATTTCTTTCGCGGCCAAAACCGGTCTTTCTTTGCTCCGTAACCAAACGGAAAGGCTTGCTACGCAGGCTATCGAGGTTGTTGAACAGTATAAAGGATCTGAACACGCGACTACGAGAACAAATCCAGTCAGCGGTCAGGGCGGCACTTGAACGGGGCTTCCGATTTACAAGTCCAGTACTCTAACCGCTCAGCCACGTTGCCTCCTAAGTCTTTGCCAGGCTGAACAGGTTCTTATATTTCAGGGTAGTTTTTCACAATTCAGGTTAATAAGGTTCTTAATTAGTTCTTGTTGTCGTAGTGTAACCATTGGAAGAAATATTGTGCTACTATGGTTTATGGAAAACATATTTCTAGTGAAAATCCAAACAAATGTAAATCAAAGAAAACATAACTTTTTGCCCGAAATTTCTCACAATTAAAATCCGGAATTTTGACCATAAAAATTGGGGTGATTTTTTTTGTATAAGAACTTCATTTTCTTTACCAGGCTGAGAAGGTGCTTATATTTTTATGTATTTAAATGCCAAATTTCAGCCAGTAGGTTCTTAAATTACCAGGTTCTGATATGCGGGTTTTAACTGTATTTGTCTACCTTTAAGGGTTGTAGAATGTCACTGTAAGGTTGACTCCCTGGCACCGTCTTTCCATCTGTGATCACCACCAACACACTTGGAACTCCAGTTCTATGGCCACCACTGCTGCTGTACAATTCTTTCCCTGCCATCATTAGCGCCTTGTCAGTTCTCCTCTCCCCATCCGGGAATTCCATTTTCATAACCATGATCTTTACATCCATTGCCCGGTGATGACATATCATGTCTGAAAACTGGCAAACTAATTCAGGTTTGCTGCCGTAAGCAATTATTCCAAAGCGTACTTCATCTTTGCTGACTCTGAATTGATTAATAAGGCCAACAAGAAAAATTGTTGTTGAAAACTTGTTCCCCAGGCTGCCACTACCATCGATGATCAAACCGAGGTCGTAAACCCCCTTCTGGTCACAGACACCTAGTAAAGGCAAAAGCCCCAAAAAATAATTATTAAGTCTCTTTCCTTTCCCACACGTGAACCTTCAATGATAAACACACCTTTTTTCATGACACTTAGAAGTGATTTATCAAATAGGAGACGGAGTGTTCTATCTGATATTAAAACAGTGAGATGTGGTATATCCAGCACGAAAAGGAGGGTTTCATCTCATATCCAGACACCCAGAAGTTATATATCTAAAATGAGATACAGTGTTCCATCTGATATCCAAACAGTAAGAAGTGATATATCAAACACGACAAAGATTGTTTTATCCGATACTCAAACAGTGAGAAGTGACATATCAGACACAGTAAAGAGCGTTTTATCTGA